TCACTGAGAAATCAGTAACAGCCAGGAATCTCCTCTTTTAGAGATTAGATGATGGAAGAAAAGGGACTGTTAGACATAGTGCCATCAAGTGTTCTTGAAAAACACCCCATTCTGCAAACCTATGCACTGAAAATAACGAGACTTACGGGGAAAAGTGGGGTTGGGAGCGACTACTCCGTACCTCTGAGGCTCTGTAACTGCAGCGCTGACAGAACATTAACAACACTACTTAAATGACTCGCACAGTTAAGCCTCTACCGGTGCAAGCGCCGGCATCCTTAGCAGCCTTAATCCCTGGGGGCTCCTGCTTCTTTTGAGATGTGGGTCCTGGAGGGTATTCATTTCCAATAGAGGCTATTATCATCAACATTAACCCAAGGATTATTAATTCACACTTGTTTTTGATTACTCCATTGCTTAAGTACAGGGGAGGTGTCTTGGTGTTTTTCTTCTTCATTTGCACCCACAGCATTTCATGGAAGGCACTGCTTGTGTGAAAGAAAGATACTTCTGCAGTTTTTTCATTTTTTCCCTTATGTTCTTCCTTGTTTGCTCCGTAGTTGATTGTGAGAAAGCTTGTCTTTGATTGTTGCAAAACATTTCACGTGCTGGGAAAAATCGTGATGGAACCAACACCACTTCTGGGTTAAACTAACATCATTTCTAAATGCACCTGAGGTAATTACGGCAAAGGAACACATATTTAGCTGGACAGATAAACTGGTAAACGGCTAACTGAGGTACTGGAACATGTGACCCGAGTAGCTGTAATAGCTGTAACCATGACAGCTAGCAATATCTGTTGAGGCTTACTGTGTGCCAGGCATGATGCTAAAACACCCTGTATGAAATTATCTCCTTTCTTCTTCACACACACTCTACGAAGTAGATAAAGAAACAGATACTTAGAGAGATTATAAATACTGATCTCTGCCCAAGCTCAATAAAGCTGTTAAGCGGGAAGCTAGGATTTGAACCTAAACCTTTCTTACTCTGAGGATTCAGCTTTTAAGAACCATGAGGAAACACTATTTCTCATCCAATGAAAGTGTGATGTGATTTTACAATAGCTCCTGACCACGTAGCCCAGTGTTCTCTAGCCAAGCTGCTACATGTAAACGCAAATGCTGACAATGTATGTACCTAGAAACCCACTAAGCGATAGAGAGCGCATATCATTTTTCCAGATTTAAACTTTCTGGCTAGGCTGTGAGGGAAATCTGTGCACATGGCCAAAGGAGAATTCCAGAAGTGTGACAACCTCCTTCTTGGTTCTTTCCAGCTGGGTCAGAGGATGCTGCGGTGACTCAGACTACATGAGGGCCTTGGAAAGGACACGCTGGCGTGTTTCTGAGCTCCACACAGGATGTCAGACTGCACGGGGTTGGGGTGGAGGGAGTTATGACTGGGGAATTCATACCCAACAAGATCTAGGATTTGAGGCATGGATGCCAACACAATAATTTTGGTGGAATCTTGACTCTTCATTTCATTTAAATTCTATTTAACAGCAATGAATTATGCACTCACCATATGCCTAGAGTTAACTATGCCAAGCGCTGGGGCTACAAAACAATAATCCAGCAAGACCTCACACGCCTGTGGAGCTAAATGTAGGCCTTCCATTGAATATACTCCACGCCACGCGCTCTTCTTGGCACTTTATGTGTATTAACTCATTAAGTTCTCACAACCCTATGCTATATGGACTCGTGATCTCCCTATTTTATAGATGATGAAACTGAGGTGCAGAGAGGTTCAGAAACTTGCTGGTGAGTAATCTGGACACAGGATTTGGATCTAGGCTATTGGAATCCACAGCCTACATTCCTAGCCTCTTCCCTAAACGCTGTCTCTAGCAGAGGGAGACAGAGAAGGTAGAAAAATTGTAATGTGGGGCTTTAAGAAAAATTACAGACATATGTACACGGTGGAACATTAGTAGAGGAGAAAGTGACTAATGCTGCCTTGGGTGCTGGGAGGAGTTGTCAGTTCAGCAAATCCTTCCTCGTGGGTGTCAAGTGGCTACCAGGAACAGCAGACGGAATAGCAAGGGCCAAGGCACAGAGGTGGGAAACGGCCTGGCAAGCCTACATGCTGCTGTTGTTTGCTGTGTTTCTGTTTGTATGTGTGTGTCTGTGGGTAATTAGGTCCATTTATTTATTCATTTGTTTATTTTTAATGGAGGTACTGAGGATTGAACCCAGGACCTCTACCACTGAGCTACACCCTCCCCTCTAGGCTGCTGCTGTTGAAATAGAAAGTCAGTAGGGTAGAAGGAGGTGAAAGACTTACACAAGGAGAACTACAAAATGCTGA